GGCAGAGTTACGTAGGGAAAGAAAGAGGGTATAGGGTCTGCTGCACAGGTGACATCCAATGGAGGGACGCTAGAAGCCATAGGATTAGCTGAAGAGAGACCGAACAGAATTGCAGAGAACAGGGGAGAAAAGTGTCTGGGATTGGAACTGAATCAGCAGGAGCTGGGCTTGGGAATACATGGAATACAGGCAGAGACTGCAAGTCATCGTTTGGGAATATGGGATAGTTGGTAGCTCAAGGAAAGGGGGAGAGACGCTGTGCGGTTCCCCTGGGAGCAGCGAGAGAAGCGCCCAGACTGGAGTAGTTGCCAGCAGCGAAGACGCTGCCAATAAAACGGGATGTCTCCGAGCAAAGAGCATGGGACCGCGAGGAAATCGGAGAGACGCCAATGAAGGGGCCGAGTAGAGCGGAAAGAGCCAAGCGGCGTCGCAGTCACAGTGAACTGACGGACCACAGTCCACCGAGTTGCTGACTTCTGGGCCTCCGGCTGTACCCCCTGCGCCTTGGCATTCTGAGCCGCCCGGTCAGCTCTGCCTTCCAGGGTCCGGCATCTGCCCTGCTGCATGTACGCGTATGGCGTCCTTCACACTTACAGAAAGACAGAGGACTCAGCCACGGGCTGCACAATGTCACCCTATAACAGGGAGGGAGACAGGGAGAAGGACGGCAAGAGCAGAGAGAAGTGCGAAGGTTGGGGAAGGGAAAGGTGCGTGAGCTCATCCAGATCACCAGCAGACGTGGGTGGGGGGAGACCAGGCCCTTATTTCCCTTTCGGGTGTAGCAGTGCGGACAGAAACTCCCTGGGAGCTGGTGCAGTTGGAGCAGCAGGGAGTGGTCGCCACCGAAGAGGGTGAGGGATTGGAGGGTGGCCACTGTGCAACGCAGGCGGGTGATGAGATGGGCTTCCAGCAGGACATGCCCACCTAATCAGGGAGAGCACAGGGCGCAGAGTAGACCCCTGAGGAGGAAGGAAAGCTGGTGGAGGCCAGAGACCACTAGAATTTTCTTCTTCTCTTCCAAGCCCACACTGGCAGGCCAATACGGGCTCCTTCTTCCAGTATACTCCCGTCTGAGTTAGCCTTGGCGCACTCTTCTCTTGCAAGAAAGGTGGAGAGAATCCATACCGCGATGAGGGGTGCCACTGGTGGGGGGGCAAGTCGATTGCATCGATGAGCAGGAACGATGTGGTACGCCGGGCAGGGGGCATTGAGCGTTGAAATGGGAGCACCACGTTTCCCAGCTTTGCCACTGGCGGGAGTAGAAGGCTGAGGGCGATCGGAATGGGCGGCCAGGAAGCCACTGGGCATGAGAGGTTGAGGGACATAGAGGGCTGGCCTGGCGACCTGATGGCCACCTGGGGTGGGGTAGAAGAGGGGCGGTAAGTAGTTATGGGTAGAGAACCCTCAGATCCGGAATGGCGAGACAGTTTCGTGTCTCTGGCCTTTTTTCTTTGCCTGATAGTCCACCTGGGATCTGACGAGCTGTGTGAATGAGCTTTAGAATCTGGTATGAACCTGTGAAGGAGACAGTTAGCGCGCGCGCGAGGCAGCCCATGGCGCTGGGTAGGATGGAGAATGAGACCTGGGAAAGCCAGGAGAGAGTGTACTGGGAGACCTGAAACTTGGGAGACGGATCACATTCGGGAGTGGAACAAGATTCGTAGGCAAGAGGTAAAAGCGCGGAGGAGAAGGAAGAGAGCCCAGACGGAGCGCTCGCGCGAAGGCGCCCGTAGGGAAGCGACAATGCTGGATCGGCCGGGCGCGGAGTGGCTAAGCCGTGGTAATTCGCAGCACGTTTGGGTGGAGGGCCGAGACGGGGGGGATCACGGAGGGTCAGGAGATCGGGACCATTCTGGGCTACATACGGTGAAACCCCGGCTCTACTAAAAAATGCAAAAAACTAGGCCGGGCGAAGGTGGCGGCGCTGTAGTCCCCGTACTCGGACGCGCGCTGAGCAGGAGAATGCGAGGGAACCGGGCGAGCGGAGCTTGCAGTGAGCTGAGATCCGGCCACTGCAGCCCCAGAGCCGTGGGCGACAGAGCCAGACTCCGTCTCAAAAAAAAAAAAAAAAAAAAAGCAAACGGAGACTAACCAGAACTGATAGTTTTAAAACATAACCTGTACATTTATTTGACTCTTTGTGATAAAGCTTTGATGTCATCAGGAACGATCCTCTCTCCCAAGACCGAAGTGACAACTGTTGGGTTTGAGAAGTGTTAATTCTCTTAGGTGTTTTCAGACATATTGTCTTACTAGTAGATTCTTTTGCTTTACCTTTTCCATTATCTTGTACTGATCTCATTTTAGCACTCTCTTAATTTATTATGTTTCATGTTACTCTTTTTCTGGTTTTCCAAGTTGAATTCTCCATTAAAGTGGTCTCAGTCTTTCTATTGATTTTACTCAGAACAGCTTTAGCTGTATCCCATAGGTTTTAGAATAAGGTGATCTCCTCTTCATTACTTTGTAGACAATTCATAATTTGTTTTAATTCTCTCTGATATAAAGGCTATTTGGGGCCAGATGCCATGGCTTATGCCTATAATCCCTATACCTTGGGAGGCTGAGGTGGGAGGGTTGTCTCAGGAGTTCAAGACCTGCCTGGGCAACATAGCAAGACCCCATCTCTACAAAAAAATAAATAAATAAATTAGCCA